AGTGGGGAAATTCTCAATGTCTGTTGCACAAATAACCAGAAAATTCGGGAAAAAAAAAAAAAAAAGTTTATTTTTTTCACAGACACAACAGGTTGCAGAGGCACTTTGACAGTGGAGCAAAAGAGGAGGCAGATGGAAGATTGCTCAGCCTGAGGTAGAGACCAAGAGCATCCAGAGCCCCAGGATCACTGGGAGGTGTTGGGCACGTTTCCAAGCTACCAACACAGGGAAGGGTCTGATTTCTCCAGTGACAATTGCCCAGGTAGGGATAGGGACACCTAAGAGGGTCTAATGGTTCATTTTAGAAGTAGCAGAGCCCAAGTTGACCCAGTCCACCCCTCCTTAAATCCCCAAGTGCTGTCTCAGGTCCTTTAACCCTTGCCTGGTTCCTCTCTGTGCTGCGGTTAAGGGTTTCCCGTTGAGTTGTGCTGAAGGGAAGTCACACCCTGTGGTCTGAGTAATTGCCAGAGTGAGAGGGACCAGAGGACAACCTATGGAGTAGACAGGCACAGGTCCATTCAGAGACCCCAGGACAGAAGACACGAGTCCTGGAAGCGCAGGGTACATGGGACCTGAGGAAAGTAGGGTTCTTGTGAGGTGGGAAGAGGACCTGGGGTGCGATGGAAGGGCATGCAGGGCAACTGGGAGGGTTCGGAGGGCACTGGGAGAGGGTGGAAGAAAGTAGGGGATGTGAGAAGGGCCCACATTCTGCAAACAACCCCCTAACAGTGCCCTGGCATGCCATGGGGTTAAGGGGAAGGCTGCTCACTCCTAATTTGTAGATAGCACTGGGTAATTAGAGGACAGCCTATGGCTGGGGGGCAAGAGGGGTCTGCGTGTACTTGGGTATGTGGGGTGGAGCAGGAACATCTGGACAGCTGTGCCTGGGTGCATAGGAATGAGGGGACAGAGAACAGCGAGGCAGGTTGGGGCACCCCGTTACCCAGATCCCCTGGAGGGCAGGCCTGCATGTGGGGTTGAACAGGGGGAGATGACATGCCTGCGTCCCGAGTGGTTAGAGTGGGGGGAGCGGAGCAGAGGGAGCTGGGACATCTGGGTCTCTCCCAGGGAGTGGTTGAGTGCAGCAGGGGCACCCAAATACCACAGTCCCATGGGGAGCTGTGGTTGCCCATACAGTGGGGTTGCCCTTTCAGTTCCCTTCCCAGGTCACCACGGCCGTGAAGTCTCCATGGTTGATCTTGCAAGCCTGCTCCTGCCCTGTGGACAGCCCAGAGACCTGTGCAGTGACTCTCATTTGTGTCTGGCCCGAAGTCATTCTTGTGAGCAAATCTAATGGGACAGATGGAGGACTTTAGGTAACAAACTCTTCCCATTGTGGCTAGGACTTCTCTTCTGGGTGACCTCATTGCCCAGGACAGTTCTTGCTGTATTTTGAAATTAAACCCAACAGAGGAGAAAATTCCTTGGTACATCTCATTCTTCATTGTTCTGCATCCATACCGTGTGCTGAGGGAACAAAGCCCCTCTGGGCTCCCCACCCTCGGCTCAGCCTCAGACCACGATGGGACCCAAGGGAATCTTCCGCTACTGGGAGCCGCTGAGACACCTGCCAGGTACCTGCTTGAGCTGTTTTGCCTCTTTGGGGCAGGAGATCTCTCCTCTGGGACACACCTGGGACTCCCTCCAGGTACTTGGTGGGTTTGGCGGCCCTCATCTCAAAGGAGCACCCACCCAGGGTGGCAGCCCGGGAACCCTCCTCTGCAGAGACCCCAGATAGTGTGCCTCCTCCAGGAGGAAGCTCCAACTGCACGCACCCACCTGGGACTCCCCCTGGCCAGAAACCAACGGTGGTTTGCCTCTGGTGGAAAGAGCCCCCATGCCAGGGGGCTGTCTGGGATGCCTCCGCGGGAGCAGCACAGATCGGTTTGCCTCACCTGAGACGGAGCTGCCATCCCACCTGTGCACCAGGACCTCCACAGCAATAGTTCCTCCAGGGGTTTTGCATCCTCAGGGCTGAAGCACTCATCCTTTGTGGCTGCAAAGTATTTCCACTGGTGCCCAGCCTGGGTTCTCTCCGCAGAGACCTACCCCCAGGGAAGAGTCACTGCCTAGTAGTTGTAGCCTCCACTGGCAGGCTGTGATTGTAGGAGCTCTGTGCTGCTTGCAGAGCCAGCTGCCCAACTTGGGTTCCTCGCTGGCATAAAGATAGCTCTGTTTCTGAGGGACTGTGCACAAAGGGGGCCCCAGGTAGGTTTGTGTCTGCATGCAGCTCGCCCCACGCCTGGGAAGCAGCTGAGGATTTTTCCCTGGTAGATCCCCAATGTGGCTGTTCACCCTGGAGTGATAACCTCATCCCAGGTGAGAGGTGAGCTCATTGCAGTCTACAACTTCCTCAAGGGAGGCAGTGGAGAGGGAGGTGCTGATCTCCTCTCTCTGGTGACCAGGGATAGGACACGAGGAAATGGAATGAAGCTGCATCAGGGGAAGTGCAGATTGGACGTTAGGAAAAGGTCCTTCACCGAGAGGATGGTCAGTCACTGGAACAGGCTCCCCAGGGAAGTGATCACAGCACCAAGCCTGTCGGACTTCAGGGAATATCTGGACAACCCTCTTAGTCATATGGTTTAATTTTAGGCAGTCCTGCAAGGACCAGGAAGTTGGAATCGATGGTCCTTATGGGCCCCTCCCAACTTGAGATATTCTTTGATTCTATGTCTACAGAGATCACACATCATCTCTAAGCATTTCACCTTTTTTTTTTTTTTTTTTTTATTCTCTTAAATTCATCAGCATTTCCACTGTTCCAGTTTCTGCCTGCTGGGTATTGAAAAAGCCCTGGTGCCTCTTGCTGTGAGCACTCAAATTCAGCCAGTGATGGCTCATCCCTCTCAGAGCACCCAGGAGTGAGTGGACAGAGTCACGGGTGCTCATGGCAATGGGGATTAAAGTAAGTATTTTGAACAACATGGGATGGATGAGTGTATCCTACCAGGTTTACCTACAACAGTTTACCTGCGTGCTGTCTGCTGGTTTGAGGAGCAAGCACAGGATTATGGGGCTGAGACAGCATGGGCATACATTAGCAGGGCACTGGACAGGGAGGAAGGAGCTGGCGAGAGCCCCATCACGCAGGGCAGCAGGTCAGTGGGTGCCATGTCACCGTCATCAGCCAGTCAGTGGTGGCCGTGTCACAGTGGGCAGCAGCAGCACCAGTGGCTGTGTCACCATGATGTCACAAGGGGTCTGTGACATGGCCGCACAGGGGTACAAGAGGAGCCGCAGAGCGGTGGGTCTTGCACCCTGGAGGAGTGTCTGTAGGACGAACAGGGATGAACTTCACCATGGCTGTCGCCAATAAGAAGCAACCAGCCAGTGCGAGGCGGAGCAAGATAGAGTTCTGGGATGGGATGAAGGACACCTTCATGATGCCCAGCATCCCCGTCACAGGTATAGGCATCCACAGCCACCACAGGAACGCTGTGGGGACCAACGCTTTTGGCATTGTGTGGGGGAGACTCAGCACTGGAGCCATCTCAGGAGTGTCCTCATCTGGGGCTGGGGACAGCAATGACACTCTATCTGCCAACGCACCAGAGCTCGGGGACGTTGGAGGGTTGAGAGCCGGTGGGCATGCAGCGTGACTCACTTTTCCTTTGCTTTCCAGAGCGAATACGCATCTGGGACGTGGTGTCCAGCTACATTCAAGAACACCTCCTGCTGCACAAGGTGGGGTGACACCTGCATCCTCCTCGTCCACCCAGAGGGGCGAGGAGTCCCTGTGACCCTGGGGCATGGCCTGCAGAGTTACTCTTCCCCTCCTCAGAAAGCAGGAAACTCACCCCAAAAGTCCCCACCGAGGGACAAACAGGGATTGTGCAAGGGGTGGTATCACCTCTGGTAGGTGGTGTTGGTACCTCAGGGCTGATCCCGGTGACTGGACACCCCTCGGATGCCCAGAGGCTGCTCCTGCCCCGACTCCAGCACTGCTTTTTCAGAGAGAAGGGGAATGAGAAGGCTTGGCATCTCCTCCCCAATCTCTCCCCGCTGCCCAGCTGGTGCCTTTGAACAGCAGGAGCAGGCAGGGTCTGGTCCAAAGCACCATCCATGGACGCGACCACCCCAAGCTCTTTTCTCTGCAGCCAGTCCTCACCCGTTGGCCATTCCTTCTCTTCTACTTGCAGGGGGTCCGAATTCCCACCCTCGGCTCCTTTGATGTGGTCCCCACGCACATCCAGGTTGGGAACAAGAAGGTCACTGTCCAGAGGCCCGTGTTTCACCTGGCCAGGAACCTTGCGGTCCACAACCTGATGGAATACAAGGCCTACCTGCCTGGTAAGACTGCACATTCAAACCCTGGCTGGCTGCACAGTCAGGGTGAAGGCAAGTATCGCACCCCTTCTCTGGCTCTGAGACTCTTCCCTACGGCAAACTGTTGCCCCCTCTGTGGGGCAGCAGGTCCAAAACTGGGGCTTTTCTGAGCAATGAGTGCAATAAGCAGCAGCTCCTGGGAAACGCCTGCAGAAAGGGTCACTGGCTGAGCGCCTCTTTCCCCCTTCTGTGGTTTTTCAGGCAATAAGGAGCTAAAGCCCCTCAAGTATGCTGAGGTGGCCGCAGCCGCCTCTGTGTCGCGGCGGAAAGTGGAGATCTGCATCCAAGGCACCATGTCCCTCCTCTCTCAGTGCATGGGGAAGGGGGAGAACGTCGCCCTTGTCCTGAAGGGCATGGGGGTGCTCCTCATCGAAGACAGGAGAGTGCAAATGAACTTCTACTCTGATTTCCTGGAGAAGATTACTGCGAGGACGATCCAGGAAGTGGCTGCACTCAAGGTGAACCTTTTTGGTTTCCCCACAGCTTGGGTGCATCAACAGCAGTTCCCCAGCACTGCTTGTGTGCGGCCTGCCAGAACACGGCCAGCGGCTCAGGCCAGGCGAGAGCATGGTCCTGCCACCTCTTGCTGCCCGGAACTCCTCCACTATTGAGTGCCTTGGCCACGTTGAGGATATCCTGTCATCTCCAATGTTCCTCCATTGCAGGTTTTCCAGATGCTATCCCCCACGGTACCCATTGCTTCCCTGACCTTCACCGGCCGCGTCATCATCTTTCCTGAGTGAGTACTTTGGTGGCTGTTGCCTCTGGTTGATGCAGCTGCCTAGCTGAAGTTTGGTAGCTTCTGCTCCTTGGGTTCACAAGTGTTCCGGTGTGAGACACTGTGCAGTGACTCTCATTTGTGTCTGGCCCGAAGTCATTCTTGTGAGCAAATCTAATGGGACAGATGGAGGACTTTAGGTAACAAACTCTTCCCCTTGTGGCTAGGACTTCTCTTCTGGGTGACCTCATTGCCCAGGACAGCCCTTGGGGATGGGGCATCGTTGCCTTAGGAGAACAACGGCCCTTACGGCAATACCAAAATCTCTGCCTGCAAGCGAGTGATCGTGGCAAGTGGCACCTGGCAAGGGCTGGTGGTGCCGTGGGTCACGCTGGTGTCATCTCTTTGTCTCCAGCTTTGAATTGGAGTTTGTGCCCAAACCACCACCCAGCAGGGCCCCTCACAAGAGACATGTCCCTGCTGAGGACAACATGCAGAAGAAAGAAGAGGTTTTGTCACCTCCCAGGCAGAGCAAGAGAGGTAAAGCAGCTCCCGGCTCCGTTGCATAGCGCGGACAAGCAGCTTCTGTAGTGTGATGGGCAAATCCCCAGTGGCGATTGTCAAAAGGGTCCCACTTGTGCCGAAGCTGTGGGACAGCTCAGCACAGCCTGCTAATGACCCCTTGGCTTCCACAAAACTGAACCCCAGGATGGGCTGTGCCCAAGGGAGCAGCAGAAGGGTGGCAATCTGTCCTGGGTTTCAGTGAGTGCTGGGGTTCAGTGAGTAGCAGGGGAGGGGGCTACAGCGGTGGCTCCTGTGAGAAGCTTCTCAAAGCTCCACTGGCTCCAAGGCAGACCCGCTTCTGCAGCAAGGCCGAGCCAATCAGCTGTGCCTCTGAGATAATGTAGTTAGGAAGGGGACATGGGAGGAGGAGTTGGAGTTGTGAGGAGGTAATGGGTAAGGGGTGATTCATCCCTCCCTGCTCCATCTCGAAACCCAAGCCGTGAGGCTTATTTTCTTATTCCTGGGGCTGGAGGGGAGGGGGGAGTGAGCAGCTGCGTGGTGCCCAGTTGACCTCTGAGCTCGAACCGCGACACATCCCAAGGCCCCCAGGAAATGACCCCTCTGCAAGAGTCCCTGGCCCGGCACCGGCATCACCCAGCTCCTCTTTCCCAAGTCTGACACTGATAACATGGTCACAGAACCACGCTGTGCCATGGAAATGAGGAGCTGGGAAAGAGCCAGCGCCAGAGTGGCTGCGAGGGGAGCAGAATGGCCCTCTCAGATGTTCTGGGAGGAGGCCTGAGCACCTCTAACGTGTCACCAGGGCTGGCAGTGTCCCAGCAATGCTCTTCTGACAAGGTCTCTCCTTCTCAGGTCCACTGAGTTTGGCTGAACTGCCCTCGTTTGAGGATTGCAACTTGACCCGTGATAAATCCCCACAGCTCTGGAAAACAATAATGGAGAACAGGAAGAAGCCTTTGTCTGGGTCAGTCAGGAAGCTCAGGGCTGGTGCCCGCACACGGTTGTTTTCTAACCCAGCAAGAGCCCGTTCCCCAGCCCCAAACACTCACTGTGTTCAATCACTGCTCAGCAGTGGTGAAGGCAGAGCCTGGAGGAGGGGCATAGGGCTCTGAGGAGCCCCCAGTTGCACAGGGCTGGATCTTCTCCAGCACTTCAGGAGAGCAGCCCTAGCGCAGGGGCCTGGGGCCATGGGGATAGCCATGTGTCAGCTGAGGGTCAGAGCTCAGGGGTTTTCCTCAGCTGAGCTGCTGGTGGCTGTGCAAAGAGGCACGTGGCTCACAGGGGCAGGATGTGGCCCCAAACCTATCGTGTCCTCAGGCAGACCCCTCCTGTTGTGTCCTTTCAGGTGGCTGCCAGTGGTCCCCGACAACTCACCCAGAAAAGGGCAGCAGGTGACCAGCCAACCCAGGGGCAAACCCATGCCCAATAGCCAAGCATCCCAGCAGAGCCCAGCTCAGGCACTGAAACCTCAATGGTGCAAACAAGGAGAACAAGAAAGAAAGAAAGTTCCTGTCGGAATCAAATTACCGTCAGTGAGGTGTGAGGCCAGGATGCCTGAGAAGCCTCCCGCCTACAAGGTCTTCATTCCGCAACCACTGACACTGGAGGTGGCACAATTACTAAAATCAAGGCCAGAGACGTTCTGGTCAGTGCTGAAGGAACCGCAGAAGACCGTATTAGCGGGATACAGCTTTGAGCCCTCCCTTCTTGTGCCACCAATGTATGAAGAGTCCAGGTCTACGCAATGCCACCCACTGAAGGCCAGATCTGCAGTGTCCAGGATGGAGTGGCCCTGGCTGGAGTGATCAGGGCTTGGGGTGCCTGCAGCAGAGGGAGTACCACCTGAGGTGGCAGAACAGGTCCGTGATTCAGATCTGTGTCATTCTTGGGTGCTGTTCCCTTGTAGAAATGCAGAGTTAGAGTACAGTGGGGACTCTTCAAAGACTCCAAAGTTCCACCTGATGATCCCATCTCAGGCCCTTCCATCACCAGGGGCGAGGGGCTTATTTTCCAATGTTGGCCTCTCTTCTGTAGCCCCAGGAAACACACAAGACAATCTGATTTTGCCATGTTTGGAACACCTAACGAACTTCAAGGCTGCTGTGGGACATACGGGTGCATAGCTGAGCCTGGGAGGAAGAGAGGGGTGGGAGGAGGTGTTTTCATGATGTGCTAATGCTTCTCGGCATCCTCCTCTGTCTGTTAAGTGGTATTGTTGTTGTTAGTGTCTGTAATAAATTTATCTTTTCTTCTTCTCCTAATGAGTCTGTCTTTCGCCTCGACTCTAATGGGTGATTCATCCCTCCCCGTCTTACCAAGACTTTGCTTCTTATTTTCTCCTTCTCAGCACTGGGGGATAAAGGGGGACAAAGCGGCTGTGTGGTGCTCGGTTGCCCTCTGAGCTCAAATCACGACAGTCTGGCACAGCGTGGGAGCAAAGCGCTGCTGCTAGAGAGGTTGGAGAGAAAGAGTCAATAAAGGGAGAGAAACAGCTGCCCTGCCCGCCAGGTCTTGAATGCCTTCCACAGACTCTGAGTGTGGGCAAAGAGCTCCCTAAACCCATAGTTTTGTCTTGACGAATCTCTCTTCTTTTTCAGCAGCCCGTCTGTCTTAAGGACACAAGCAGCTCTGGAAAGAGATGAATAAAAACACAAAGGAGAAGCTGGAAAAGAACGTTGACTTTTTAAGTGGTTCAGAGTGGTCCTTCACCAGAAAAGGGGAGAGGGCTTTTACAGTTGGCCGTGGCTCTGAGATCAGCCCAAGGTGGTTCTGGGAGCAGGGCCATCAGAGAGGCCTTTCCTCAGGACCTTTCCCACCCAAGGTACCTTTTTGATGGCTGCTATGGAAAGGAACCGGCTTTGGGGGGCAAGAGGAGGCAACTCGGCCTCATTGGGAACAAGGTGGGTGAAGACCTGAATGTCCCTGGAGGGGAAAGCAGAGGATTCAAGTGCAGCCGCGGGAGGCATGGAGGGCACCTGCGTGCCAGGGCAGCGGAGGCCACCGGAGCTGTCACCCAGGGCCATGAGGGGAACGGGGGAAAGAGAGAAAGCAAGGCTGAGCCCAGCTCTGTGGGGCTGGACTTTCTTCTTCCACTTGGGGTAAAGCCAGGTCTCTTTACTATCCTATTTTTTTACCATTTTAACCAATTTATGTCTCTACTGATGAAATCCTCCAAGCAGGTGCTCTGTTTGGCCATCCCATGGGCCACCCGCAGTGTCAGAAGGTCAATCTCCAGTGCCAGCACTAATCCACTCGTGTCCCCTCCTGATCTCTGGCATTTTCCTCCTTGCCCAAATCCATCTTAATCACCTCAGGAACCCAACTGTCCTTATGGAAAGATTTTGCTTAGGGCCCCTTCCAGCACCTGGGGGCAGGGGCCACACTGATGCCGCCCTAAAAATTCAATCCCTGACTTTGAGCAAAGGTTGTTCCTGAGAACACAGTCACGAGCGAGTGATCAACATCTGCAAAGCCAAAGGTCACTTTGCAGTGGCAGATCTTTCTGCACCAGTTTGCAAGAGATCCAAGGGTGTAATTTCAACATCTTGTTGAAGTGCCAAAATGGAGAGATCTACCCAGAACCAGGAGCTCAGTGTTGGGATGAGCTGTGTCTCACCAGGGAGCCTCTAGTGTCACCCTGTCCAGCCGATCTTATGAAATCGGGTCTTTCTACCGAGGGAAATCACTAAGTCATGTGATAAATCAGATCACTGAGGAGTCTCCAGCCCAACTCTGGGCCCAGAGCAGGTCCCATCAGGCCACACGGGTTTGTGCTCAGTGGAAGCTCGAATGCCTCAACATTAGAAGGGTAAAGCACCACCTGGATAGATGTTTCCTTTCACACTCACCCACAAAGTAAGTTTGCCACCAAGACAGAAACCTGGTTTAGTTCCTGGGCAGCAAAGAGGGAGCATAGCAGCATGACTGGCAGTCACTGGCACCTCTTTTCCAGGAGGTGAAACATTGTCCCAGTGCTGAGGGGTAAAACTGAAATGACCTCAGTTTCGGCACGAGGAAATCCCGTCAGCCTCCTCCAGGACATTGGTGATGGGATTTGCTGCATGTGCGGTTTGGGGATCTCTTGGTTTCAGGACATGCCCAGGGGCTTGTGGCCACTTGGCTGTCCCTGTCCCATGACTTCCTTCTCTCAGTATGGACATTTTTCTTCCCTCCACATCTCTGGCTTTTCCTTCTTTCTCCTTGTGCAGAGAATGGGGAGTGCCAGGCTTGGGATCACCCAAACGCTTCCCAGGCACAGAGACCAGCCTCAGACAAGATGGACGACAGAGGCGTGGCTTCCCTGGGCCTTCTGGAGGTTTTCCTCTTTCTGCGCTCCCTTTCTGTCCAACGACTGGTGATTTGTGGGGAAAGGTCTTGCTCCAGCAGACCCGAGTGGTCCCTGGGTGCTGAGGAGAAATCGGCATGGACGTGCAGGTGCCTGAGGAGGCCCTTCCCAGAACCACCACCACACAGGGCAAGGGATGGGCTGGACGGAGCAAGTGCCTCTGCCCACGGGGTCACTGAAATGGCCGCTGAGGGCCAGGCCCGGCCCTTCCCTCCTTTCTGGGCCTCGGAAGCCATGGAAGGTCCCACCAGTGCTCTGACAGGGAGGAGACAGGGCCGATGCAGAGCTGCTGCCCTCTTTCCCCCCTGGGACGAGGGGTCCTGTGCATGCCCACCAGTGCTGTGGATCCAGCATGGCTGCCACGATGTGGGACTACATATCCCAGCATGCCGTGGGAGTCCCAGGCCCATGCACTTCTTCTGCCAGCTCCTGGACACACGCAGTGTGAAAACCTGCATCCCCCCCAGCCATATTTCCTCCTCCTTGCTGCTATTTTTATTTAATCCAACACAGAATGATGAGCTCATCGGTTTCTATTTCTGTTTCAGACCGCAACATTGCCTGCTAGTTTTCATACAGGAAGGGCTTGTGCATTTGCAGCACTTACTCAAGTAAGTGGGGAAATTCTCAATGTCTGTTGCACAAATAACCAGAAAATTCGGGAAAAAAAAAAAAAAAAGTTTATTTTTTTCACAGACACAACAGGTTGCAGAGGCACTTTGACAGTGGAGCAAAAGAGGAGGCAGATGGAAGATTGCTCAGCCTGAGGTAGAGACCAAGAGCATCCAGAGCCCCAGGATCACTGGGAGGTGTTGGGCACGTTTCCAAGCTACCAACACAGGGAAGGGTCTGATTTCTCCAGTGACAATTGCCCAGGTAGGGATAGGGACACCTAAGAGGGTCTAATGGTTCATTTTAGAAGTAGCAGAGCCCAAGTTGACCCAGTCCACCCCTCCTTAAATCCCCAAGTGCTGTCTCAGGTCCTTTAACCCTTGCCTGGTTCCTCTCTGTGCTGCGGTTAAGGGTTTCCCGTTGAGTTGTGCTGAAGGGAAGTCACACCCTGTGGTCTGAGTAATTGCCAGAGTGAGAGGGACCAGAGGACAACCTATGGAGTAGACAGGCACAGGTCCATTCAGAGACCCCAGGACAGAAGACACGAGTCCTGGAAGCGCAGGGTACATGGGACCTGAGGAAAGTAGGGTTCTTGTGAGGTGGGAAGAGGACCTGGGGTGCGATGGAAGGGCATGCAGGGCAACTGGGAGGGTTCGGAGGGCACTGGGAGAGGGTGGAAGAAAGTAGGGGATGTGAGAAGGGCCCACATTCTGCAAACAACCCCCTAACAGTGCCCTGGCATGCCATGGGGTTAAGGGGAAGGCTGCTCACTCCTAATTTGTAGATAGCACTGGGTAATTAGAGGACAGCCTATGGCTGGGGGGCAAGAGGGGTCTGCGTGTACTTGGGTATGTGGGGTGGAGCAGGAACATCTGGACAGCTGTGCCTGGGTGCATAGGAATGAGGGGACAGAGAACAGCGAGGCAGGTTGGGGCACCCCGTTACCCAGATCCCCTGGAGGGCAGGCCTGCATGTGGGGTTGAACAGGGGGAGATGACATGCCTGCGTCCCGAGTGGTTAGAGTGGGGGGAGCGGAGCAGAGGGAGCTGGGACATCTGGGTCTCTCCCAGGGAGTGGTTGAGTGCAGCAGGGGCACCCAAATACCACAGTCCCATGGGGAGCTGTGGTTGCCCATACAGTGGGGTTGCCCTTTCAGTTCCCTTCCCAGGTCACCACGGCCGTGAAGTCTCCATGGTTGATCTTGCAAGCCTGCTCCTGCCCTGTGGACAGCCCAGAGACCTGTGCAGTGACTCTCATTTGTGTCTGGCCCGAAGTCATTCTTGTGAGCAAATCTAATGGGACAGATGGAGGACTTTAGGTAACAAACTCTTCCCATTGTGGCTAGGACTTCTCTTCTGGGTGACCTCATTGCCCAGGACAGTTCTTGCTGTATTTTGAAATTAAACCCAACAGAGGAGAAAATTCCTTGGTACATCTCATTCTTCATTGTTCTGCATCCATACCGTGTGCTGAGGGAACAAAGCCCCTCTGGGCTCCCCACCCTCGGCTCAGCCTCAGACCACGATGGGACCCAAGGGAATCTTCCGCTACTGGGAGCCGCTGAGACACCTGCCAGGTACCTGCTTGAGCTGTTTTGCCTCTTTGGGGCAGGAGATCTCTCCTCTGGGACACACCTGGGACTCCCTCCAGGTACTTGGTGGGTTTGGCGGCCCTCATCTCAAAGGAGCACCCACCCAGGGTGGCAGCCCGGGAACCCTCCTCTGCAGAGACCCCAGATAGTGTGCCTCCTCCAGGAGGAAGCTCCAACTGCACGCACCCACCTGGGACTCCCCCTGGCCAGAAACCAACGGTGGTTTGCCTCTGGTGGAAAGAGCCCCCATGCCAGGGGGCTGTCTGGGATGCCTCCGCGGGAGCAGCACAGATCGGTTTGCCTCACCTGAGACGGAGCTGCCATCCCACCTGTGCACCAGGACCTCCACAGCAATAGTTCCTCCAGGGGTTTTGCATCCTCAGGGCTGAAGCACTCATCCTTTGTGGCTGCAAAGTATTTCCACTGGTGCCCAGCCTGGGTTCTCTCCGCAGAGACCTACCCCCAGGGAAGAGTCACTGCCTAGTAGTTGTAGCCTCCACTGGCAGGCTGTGATTGTAGGAGCTCTGTGCTGCTTGCAGAGCCAGCTGCCCAACTTGGGTTCCTCGCTGGCATAAAGATAGCTCTGTTTCTGAGGGACTGTGCACAAAGGGGGCCCCAGGTAGGTTTGTGTCTGCATGCAGCTCGCCCCACGC